CCACGATGCTGCCGACTGCTCGGCTGGGGGCTGCTCCGCCAGCCGCGTCCCGCCACGGGCCACTCGCGCCCGGCCCACCCTCGGCCTTGCCTGCCCCGCCTGCCTGCAGCACCCGGCCCTGTGGGCGTCGGTGATGACCCCTCCTCTTAGCGGCGAGGGAGGGGGGGGAAAGGGAGAAGGAGAAGGCCGTCTCAGAAGGCGGCGGGACTTCTGAGAAGCCCTCGCGCCTTCCGAGAAGTTTCTCGCGTCCCCGGGGAAGGCTTAGACAACTTCTCAGAAGGCCGGGGGGCCTCAGAGACTTCTGAGCAGGCCCGCCCCTTCTCACTTCCCCCCCTCGCTCGCCGCCGATCCTTTCCTCGTGCAAGCAAAAAGAGCAACTGCCACCGGAGCTCCGTAGAGTCCCCTTCCCAGTGCCCCCCCCACCCCCCCGAGCTGGCAGCGCTCCGCTCCGGGCACTCTCTGGGGGCGCGCCTGGAACGGGGTGCCACCAGCTCGGTCGGGGGAGGGGAGGGTAGCGGCCGGCCCTCCTTGCTGGTGGTGGTGGCTCCTCCTCCTCCTCCTCCTCCTGCTGCTTCTCCTCCTCCTCCTCCTCCTCCTGCTTCTCCTCCTCCTCCTCCTCCTCCTCCTCCTCCTCCCCCTCCTCCTCCTCCCCATCCCCCTCTGTCTCTGGTGAGTCATGGGAGGCCGCTTGGTGAGGACGGCATCACGGTCTCGGACGCCGCTGTTGGCGAGGCACGCTCCGTGATCCCCCGCCCGTCGCGCCGGCGGCGGCGCCAGGGCCACGGATTCCACGTGCAGCGCCACGCTGCCGCGGCGCCCCGCACGTCGCGCCGGGCGCCTGCCGCCATGGTGCCCTGGCGCTCCCGGGTGAGACATGCGGCCCGCATGCACGTCTGCCGTGGTGGTGCGCGCGCTCAGCGGTGGCACAAAGGGTCGCAGACATCGAAGTCCCCCCGGCAAGAGCGCCACGGTGGCAGAGGGCCGGTGGCCAGCGTTGCTCAGGTCGGCCCTGAAGTTTCGAGGTGTCACCCGTGCCCCGGCAATCAACGCAAGCAGAGGTCCATGCAAGCCATGGCTACACTGCATTGCATTGCAGTATCATAGTCTTCCCTGTCCCGCGAAAGTCTGCCCCGACGCCCGCGCTAAAGGCACTGGGACTTCAGCAGTCGCCACCACACTGCCAGAGCGGTCTGTGAGGACCACCGCCCAGTCCGCACGTTCCTGGCAGGTCAAAAGCGAGGATGAGGAGGTGGAGCAAGAGGGGGAGGATGAGGATCGGGAGGCGGAGGAAGCAGGAATGAGGCAGGAGGAATGCGGATAGGTGGAAGGAGAAGAGGAGAGGAGCGGTGGGAGACGAGGAGAGAGTGAGGTGGTGCGAGGCAGGATAAGATCCCGATGGCCAGGAGGAGGACTGAGACAACGCAGGGGTGCAGGAGGAGGAAGAGCAGCAGGATGATCATGACGACGACGACGAAGAGGGAGAGCAGGAGGAGCAGGAGAAGACAGAGCACGAGAAGGAGGGGGGACGAAGAGGAGAACAGGAGAAGCAGGAAGCAGACGACTGAGTGGAGCTGGACGGGGAAAGGCCAAGGAGGAGCACGGTGCGAACAGACGGGAGGGCCTGGTCGCTCAGGAGCGACGGGTCGCAAGTGCAGGAGGTGAGTGGTGGAGGACGGAGGAGGAGGAGCCTGCGCTGTCACGAACATGCTGGTGATGGTGCAAGCGGAGGAGCTGCCCCATCACCAGCACGCGTGCTATAGCAGCAACCACGTGTCTACGGCTGGGTCGGGCATATGCCCGACTTAAGTCAACGGTGCGCCTGCGTATCGTGGACCCGATTCCCGTTCTTACCAGCCTGGAACATATCCCTATCCCTATGCTGGGCATCTCCTCGTCACCATGCCAATCTTTGGGATTCCTTACTTTTTGAGGGCGCATCCCTAAGATTGTCATCGCCTTTTGGCGTGTCAATCTTAGGGATAGGGATAAGTTCGAGGCTGGTAACGTTCCCTCTGGCGTGGCCTGAGCCCCACAGCCCCACAGGCCGACTCCGCCCCCCCCAGAGGGAGATATGTCGGCTGGCCACTTCGGCTCTCGAGGGGCCCATCCCCAACGGTGCTGGTGAGCCGGTCGGGCTGAGATACCGTGGCCCAGTGAGGATGGGAATATGTTAATGACTATCTACCAGACCACCCCAACCCAACCCGAAGACCCGAATTTCGGGTTGGGGTGGGTAAGGGTTACACATGTGCTTTTTCGATGTTTCCCGACCCCCCCGCACTGGAAATGGAGGGCAAATTGAGGCCTTCGGGTTGGGTTGGGGTGGTTTGGTGGGTGGTGAGTTAAACGATACTGAGGGTCAGCCAGGCACGTTGGGAGGATTCACAGGGGCAAGAAAAGAAGCCAGACAGCTGAAAGGCGAAGAACTGGCCATCGCTCGGACGTCCATTCCCTGTGTTTTTTTTCGGTTTCGCGCGTGATTTTCTCGCCAAATGATCAAGGATGCTCCTCGATGGTCCTCGCCAAAGGAAAAATGCACACGTCCGAGCGATGCCAAGAGAAAGACCGGCTCCCTGAACCGCCACGATTCTCCCAACACCCGCACCGCTCAGACTGTGGAGTCATAGCCCGCACCTTCGCTGAGCGTTTGGCTGTCGATCGCAGCTGGCCCTGCCGGCGTTGGCGCCCGAGTCGTGCCGAAAACAGATCGCCAGGAGGCAAATCGTCAAAGCGTGACACAAGTATATTGGCAGCCACAACGGTAGTGACAATATTAGAAGAGCTGGAAATCGGCAGAGAGAACAGGTCGAAAGAGGCTCGAGGATCGCAACCAACCCACCAACACAGGAGACGGGAGGAAGCGTCTCACGACTGGAATAACACTTGGACAATAGCAACAAGGTAAAATGGCATTCCGCTCGCCCTACCCAAATCTACAACAGTGTGTCGGTTCACGATACCGTGAGGGTAGCTTAAGACCAGTGCTTAACAAAACAGATGAAACTGATGTCAACGAAGACGGGCAACCTGAGGAGGGAGCGTCCAATCCAGACCAGAGCTCTTGATCGTGTGGGTGAGCGAGTCCCGGAGCTGGAGGGGGTTCCCAATCCACCCCAGAATGAGATCCCCCCCGTCCAGGACCGGCTCGATGGCCGCGATGCACTCCCAAAGCACGATTGTCATGCAAGCATTGTATTGACGCGCCTGCTTTCCACCACCACCACCACGAGTTGGAGGGGGAAGAAGGTGGAGGACGAGGAGGAGGAGGAACACGAAGAGGAGGAGGAGGAGGAGGAGGAGGAGGAGGAGGAGCAACCCATCCCCCTCCAGCTTACATGGTGGTGGTGGAAAACAAGCGCATCGTGTGTATGGTCCTGGGCGGCCTGGGCCTCCTGCGCCGCCGACCTGAAGATCCTGGCTCCCGGTGAAAAAATCGAGGCGAACGGGTGCGGGATGGCGCTGGAAAGCGCAACGGTCACGGAGGAGGAGGAGGAAGTGGAGGAGGAGGAGGAGGAGGAGGAGGAGGGCGAGGAGGAGGAGGAGGAGGAGGAGGAGGAGGTGGATGGCGAATCAGATCGCGTCGGCTGTTTTCCTGGCGCTTTCCGTTGGGGGTGCCTGAACATAGCGCGTGCTCTCAGTAAGCGACTGATGGCCGTTCCGCTCGGATGTGATCACGAAGGGGTGGAGGTCGCAGAAGCTAACAGCCTGCAGCAGCGCGCTGACGGCGAGGGAGTGGTGAGAACACAGAGCTACAGGAAGCGCACCCCCCCCGAGTTCGAATGAACCGACACCTGTCTTTGGAAAAGTAGAAGAAGGAGGAGGAGGAGGAGGAGGAGGAGGAGGAGGAGGAGGAGGAGGAGGAGGAGGAGGAGGAGGAGGAGGAGGCTGGGGGAGGAGTAGGAGGAGGAGCAGATGGGGGAGGAGGAGGAGGAGGAGGAGGAGGAGGAGGAGGAGGAGGAGGAGGAGGAGGAGGAGGAGGAGGAGGAGGGGGATAGGCGGCTCAAAAGAGAGGGATGGGAGGAGCGGCATGATCAGGACGAGCGCCAACACTCACGGGGCCGACAGTAGGCAGATGCAATGGTCTGTGGGCCAGGCGAAACTTGAAACTGAAGGGGAGCAGAAGGAGGGCAAGAGGCATAGGGGGCAGGACGAGGTCGAGAGGCCGGAGAAGAGGGGGGCAGCATTGAAAGGAAGCGTGAAGCGCAACAGTGCTGTTTTTTTCTTCCGCTGCCAAACACGCCCGCACCAATGTCTCACGGTCCGAACCTGCTGATCGCCAGGATGCCAGCAAAGCTCGTGGTGAGACGGAAAAGGTGGCAGCGGTATAGACGCGCGTCTGTACTGAGATGACGCCCTGGAGCAGCAGCGAGTCGCTCGTGAAGCGCCGAACGTTCGGCGACCTGTCGCGGGCGAATCTCAGAAGGAGCTGCTTTGTCAGCCGGTCCGAGATAGGAGGGAACAGAAGAGAGAGATGAGCGTCCCCTGCTCTAAAAACCTATTCGGAAACATAAGTCTGAGTCGGCCGTCGACTCTAAAATCGAATTCTCCGGGCACTTCCAAAGGAGCTGCTGAGGATGCTCAAGCAACGAAGATCTCACAGCGCTGTGGTGCATGGGTGCGGACTGGGCCCTTCTGAAGGAGCTGCTTCTGAGGGCGCAGGCGACGAAGAGGCCATGGCCCTGTCGAACATGCGCACGGAGCAGGAGCCACTCAGCGCTTGCAGCTCCTGCTCGACGAAGGCGGCATGAGCGTCCCAGCGGCGATGCAGCAGATGCACCTCGGACATGAGGGTTACTAGATCGATGGCCTTCGCGCCTCCGTGGATACGGATGCAGCCCATGATGAACTGATCCGCGTCGATGGCACCGGTCTTGTCAAAGTCCAGGAGGTCGAACAATGCTTCCGCCTCGTGCGTGGTGAGGTCCAGCTCCTCGAAGTACGACTGCACATGGGGCGACGTGATTTTCTCCCGGAATTCCTCGAGGCTGATCGGGTGACCCCCACCCCCCTGGATGTTGTTCACGAGCTCCACCAGCGTGTTGACGAGGTCCTTCCTGTTCTCCTGTGTGCAGCTCTTCAGAGCGGCATCCACGAAAACCCCGGTGATGACGTTCAACATCCGCCGCCGCAATGCGCAACAATCGGTACGCTTGTGTGCAAATGTTGTGTGGTGAAACTGTTCTCTTTTCATCAGCCCCGCCTCTGGCGAAGAGGCAACGACAAGGCCCACGAAGCATCGAGCACACCATGCGCCCTCTTGATTCTCCAGGTCCTCCTGCCATCCACAGGAACAGTGGAGCCAGCAGCAGTTCCTTGCGGGGGGTACGGGGAATGTGGAACCGCACATGGGTGGATTCACTTGTGTAACGCGGAGGCCACGCGGCGGATAACGAGGCGCAGGGCTGGCGTAACCTGACATTGTTGTGTCAGATATGTCTATATTTGTGCATATATATACACAGAGAGAGGTAGTGCTGCGTTTGTGCATACATCTGTGTCTGGGAGCCACGCGCCAGAAAGACATGCGGCCATATGCCATATGTGTATCCAGCTCTCGCCCAGACCAGCCACGTCCTGCGTGCAGGCTTTCTGGCACAGTCTGGCACACGGACAGGTCCCTTCCCACCCCCGCTGCTCCCACACGACGCCCGACAAAAATCCCCCGCCCCGCCCCCCCCGCAGTGGCGGGCAAGACCGCGGCAGCGCACCCGGCTGGCCAGGACCGCAAACGACACGTAGAGGCACAGCAGCAGCGCCATCAGCGGCGAGTTCTGGGCAAGGAGCGGCTCCGACAGATGTCGCCAGTTGAGGCCGCCCGTGATGGCCTGGTACAGGGACATCATGGAGCCCAGCAGCGACCCGTAGTATTTGTGCGTGTCCGTGCCCACGGCCACGGAGTCTGGGTCACCCTCCGCGAGGTCTGCCACGACCTGGGTGAAGCAGATGCTCGCGGTGTAGGTCATCAGAATGAGGAGGACCACCGTCCAGATCAGGGCGGGCATGGTCTTTCCGATCGAACTGACAAGAGTGCGCAGCTTCTGGATCATACTCAGGACCCTTGCCAGCCGCAGGACGCGGAGAAGACGGAGCACCCGGAGGATGCGCAAGAAGCTGAAGCCAGTGGACTGGCTGCTGGCCATGAGAGCCGTGATCTCCTCGAAGACCTGGAGGGTCACCACGACCAAGTCGAAGTAGTTCCAGGAGCAGCCCGGCATGACGAAGAACGAGGCCCCGTACCCCAGCAGGCGCAGGGCCAGCTCCGCGACGAAGATCGCGGCGAAGCTCTGGGCCGCGACCTTCAGCCACACTGGCTCACCACCTCCGCCGCCCTCGCGCGTCGCCCGAGCGGCATAGTCGGCCTGGACGCCCATGAGCACGGCGTTTAGGACGATGAGGGCGCCCATGACGAGGTCGAACGCCTGGGGGCCAGGTGAAGAGAACAACCGAACAAGGATTGAGAACCCTGGGTGAAGATCCGCTCAGGGTCGAGGCCGCTGAGGATCTGCTTCGGAAAAAATGCTTGGAATTATGCTCCCGCATGCCCGGAGGCGGGAGCGCTTGCAGAAAGCCCCACCAGGACGGGGGCGGCGTGAGACGAAGAATCAACTGCGGGGCTCTTTAATCCGCCAGGTGACGGACGGACTGGAACGCCTTCTGTTCCACGACGGCAAGGGCGGCCAGCTGGACCACCGCGACCCACCGGCGGCGCTCACAGAAGTCCAGGTCGACCGTGGCGCTGGTCCTTCGGATCCCCGAGAGCCTCGACCTGGGCACGATGGCAGCGCTCGCCACGAAGAAGGAGCTCCTGAGGAGAGCGTGTTGTATCCTCCGCGGTGGCGGCCGTCATCGGCCCCTGCCCCCCTGGTAACTCCACCACCAGTGCGGACCCCTCAGCTGCCTTTTCTGGCTGGTCCTAAATATTCCCAGACGGCGCCGTCGCGAAGCGTGACGTTACCGGCCCCCCGCTGATGGGTCTCTTTTCCACCACCACCGTCACCATAAGTTGGAGAGGGAGGGGGGGGTCCTCCTCCTCCTCTCCCTCCTCCTCCTCCGCCTCCTCCTCCTCCTCCTCCTCTTTCTCCTCGTCCTCCTCATCCTCCTCCTCCTCCTCCTCCTCCTCCTCTTTGTCCTCCTCCTCCTCCTCCTCCTCCTCTTTGTCCTCCTCCTCCTCCTCCTCCTCCTCCTCCTCCTCCTCCTCCTCCTCCTCCTCCTCCTCCTCCCCCTCCCCCCTCCAACTTATGGTGGTGGTGGTGGGAAACAGGCCCACCACCCGCACCTCCCACCGCTGTCGCCGGCGAATACAAAAAGCGCTCTCCTGTGGTCGCTCTCGGAAGACACCCGGCGGGAGCTGGGCGACCCGCACGCCTCTGCGGTGGGGGCGTGCTCGCAGGAGGCGAGGTGGTGGTCCCAGCGTGGGGCTGAGCCAGCCCCGCCAGTCCCAGGGGCAGTGGGCACAATAACCATCGACCACATCCTGGCCAGGCCCGACAGGAGGACCATCAGGCCACCAGGCCGATACCTCGGCCCGGCAGGGCCGCTTTCTCAATCCGGCACCGCTTCTTTCAAAGGACCAGGAGCGCGGACGAAAGCTGCGAGAGACTCCGCCCTGACCGATTCAAGCCCTCCGAAGCCTCGAGCTTGCAAGTCTCTTCCGCCACGCTCTGAGGCGAGGCAGTATGCCTGATGATCCTGGCGAAGGACCCGACCATGTGCAGGCGTGAGCACCGGAAGGCAGGTGGGACGAAGGCAGGGAAGCTCCCTCGTGGGCCAAAAAGCGGGCAAGAGATCTGCCACTTTGGGGGGGGGGCCAATGCGGGCGCTGGCACCGGGGCCTTCGGCGGAGCTCCCCATGGGGGCACCAAGCGTGCGATTTGTTGTCCTGCAAGCGACGACGCTGTGGTTCAAAAGCGAAGCGGATCACCGCAGCAAGGCTGCGCCACCAATTGCGATTGAGGAGCGCCAGGGGAGCTAGAGCGGGGCACAAGCAGGAGGAGGAGGACGACCGGGGCACCACGCGTGTCAGGGGTGCACCGAGATAGGTGCGAAGCCAACGTGCGAACGCAGCCACTGGGGCATTCGGCGGAGCCTTCCGATGGGGCCACGAAGCGATGCGGGGGTATGCCGACCCGGGTGCGGCGACGCCATCCTTAGGTTAGGTCGGGCATGTCCCCCTACAGGGGGATGTTGGGCGAACATTGAAAAATATGCAAACAGCAAATCGTCCCCATACTATTTTTGCTTTGTTTGAATATGCTCCTCCTGTAGAGGAACATGCCCGACTTAACGCCATGCGTACGCAGCCACTGGGAGCCTTCGGCGGAGCTTCCTCCCTGGTTGGCATATGCGCGCAGCAGGTGGAGGTGATGGGAGGAGGGAGGAGAGGGCCGCGGGAAGGACGGAGGACGCGGGGCGCTGTCCCCGCAGAAGGAAGACCCAACACCCCAGGATAATCACCAACAAACTGGCTTCAGTAGAAGAAGAAGACGAAGAAGAAGAAGAAGAAGAACAATAAAAAAAGGCATACACATAATCATGAACTTTTGGCGCTCCGCGCGGATTTTTCTTGGATCTGCGCTGGGCCCGCCTCCCTGGCGCGCGGAGCGCGCGGGGGGCGGCGCCGGAGGCGTCCGCGCGGAGCGCCAACAATTAATGCTTATGTTTTCTTCTTCTTCGATGCAGAGTTATCCGAGGAGCCTCTAAAAGGAGAAAACGCGCGAAGGGCACTACCCATACTGCTGAGCAGTATGGGTCTCCTTTCCTCCTCGAGAGGACGGTCAAAACAAAAAAATGGCTTCAGATCTCTCTGGTTTGGGAGCCCGAGGTATGCGGAGTAACTCGGGCCCGGGGTAATTCGGGCCCGGGGTAACTCGGGCTTGGATCCCCGAAAAACGATAGCCCTGACCCTGATGATTCTGGGCTCTAGACGCCCGCATTCTCCGGGGCGTCTCTCGGGCCCCGGGCAACTCGGGGTCGGTTTCCTGAACGACGCACCCGAGTTGGTCCTGACTGAAGGGGCCCAAGACACACAAATAAATACACATAAATAAAAAAACTCCCCATATTTTTCCATATTTTGGGGGGTTCTGTCTCCCCCCCGACTTCCCATATTCTCCCATCTTTTCTGGGGGATCGACGATGCATTGTGTCTGTGTGCTTTTTCCCCTCCTGACTGACCCGAGGCACCCCTGATGACTCCGGACCCTGACTGGCGTCGCCGTGCCCCCTGGAGGGGCGGGGCCGCCATGGGCGCGGCGGCGTCGTCCGCGGCGGGGGGGCGCCGTCCCGCGGCGGGGCGGCCGCGGCGCCGGCCGCCGCGGCGCCGCGCCCCGCCAGGGCTCCGGCCGCGGCGGGGCCCGCGGCGCAGCGGCGCGCGACGCCGGGCAGGCCGCGCGCCTTCGCCGGGAGGGGGCGCTCCTCCTCCTCCTCTTCTCCGCCTTCTTCTCCCCCCCCCCCTCCTCTCCTCCTCCTCCTCTCTCCTCCTCCTGGTTTCTTCTCCTCCTCCTCCTCCTCTCCTCTCCTCCTCCTTCTCCTAGTCGTCCTCCCCCTCCTCCTCCTCCTCCTCCTCCTCCTCCTCCTCCTCCTCCCCTCCTGGTCTTCCTCCTCCTCCTCCTTCCTCCTCCTGTGACTTCTCCTTCTCCTCCTCCTCCCTCCTCCTCCTCCTCCTCCTCCTCCTCCTCCTGCTCCTCTCCTCCTCCTCCTGGTCTTCCTCCTCCTCCTCCTCCTCCTCCTCCTCCTCCTCCTTCTCTTCCAGGGGGGGGCGGGGTGCTGGAAGTGCCACATTGGGCGCGAATTACCCTTAGATCCTGGCAGCTCAATTTTGTTCGAGCTGGGCGTGTTCGCCCAGTGCCGGGCCCTCTGGAAGCCTCACAGATCGATCCGGCTTGGGAAATGACTCAGAAAGATAAGGTCTAGGCCTCCGGCCGGCAGAGGGTGTTTGGGGAGTGCTGCTAGAAGTGCCCCTTCGAATAGGGGATCGACTACAGAATTGATTTACCCCAAGTTGAAATTGTCGTCGAATCTGCGAAATAATACGTAGACTGCACGCACATATATTATCCCGGCAAAGCAACCTAACAGCGATGTGTAGAAGCATATCTGGAAGCATTGCCCTTGAGATTCATGTAGGAGTCCTGTTGTAGAATTCTGGTGTAATCGCAGTCGCAGTCGCAATCGCAATGGCAGTTGCAGCGGCAACGGCAGTCGCAGTCGCAGCCTCAGCCTCAGCCTGCCTCAGCCTCAGCCTCAGCCTCAGCCTCAGCCTCAGCGGTGGATTCCCCATAGTCACTGGCGGCGCTGGGGGCCTCAGCATCAGCCTCAGTGGTGGATTCCCCATAGTCACTGGCGGCGCCTGGGGGCCTCAGCCTCAGCCTCAGTGGTGCGTTCCTCATAGTCACTGGCGGCGCTGGGGGCCTCAGCCTCAGCCTCAGTGGTGCATTCCCCATAGTCACTGGCGGCGCTGGGGGCCTCAGCCTCAGCCTCAGTGGTGCGTTATAGTCACTGGCGGATCCGCGGATTCTCCCCGGATCCTGCCCGGACCCCCCTGGGGAGTCATGATGCTTTCTTTTGAGACCATTAGAAACCTATCAGTCTTCGCTGTTAGGTAAAAAGTTGTCCACGCATGCTCGACGGAGAAATTCATACTTGGGGTAGAACAATTCTGTAGTCGATCCCCCACTCGACCCCAGGCAAAAGTTGGGCGCGAGTTATAATGGAGGGCAATATACGAGGGGGGCAGCGAGGGATGCCGAAAAGAAGCCCTTCCAGAGGGCCCCTGAAGGGGGCCCTCTTGAAGGCCGGGAAGGGGCCTCAAGGGCCCGAGAAGGAGCCTCAAGGCCTCAAGGGCATCATCATCATCATCATCATCATCATCATCATCATCATCATCATAATCATCATCATCATCATCATCATCATCATCATCACCATCATCACCATCACCATCATCACCATCACCATCACCATCACCATCACCATCACCATCACCATCACCATCACCATCATCATCACCATCATCATCATCATCATCATCATCATCATCATCATCATCATCATCATCATCATCATCATCGCCTTTCTCCCATTCATCGCCCCGCCTTTTCATTCGCGCCCGACCAAGGTGCCCCCCCAGGACTTCTGGGGAGGACCCCTCGGGGCACCTTGAGCCAGGGGCAGCTCCAGCAACCCCTTGAGGTGTGGATGGGGGGGGGAAAGATCCACAGCACTCGGTACTGGATTTTGTCGGTCGCGATCGGTAACAACCGATCGGCATTACAATTCGGTCACGACCGGTCGCGACCGAATCCAGAATCGGTCTCGACCAGCCGTGACCGATCGCCACCGATGCCAGAAATTGCAGCAACATCAGCAGCCACCGATCTTGTCGGTCTCCACTGGAAAACTCTGGTACCCAATGATCATGGGAGGGGGGATGGGAGGAGGAGGAGGCCGGGGGGGAGGGAGGAGCCCAACAGTGGAGGGCAGAAAGTCCACCCCCAGAGTGGTCACCCCGGCACACGAAGCCGTTCAGTAAACGCGCCCAAAGGAGATATCGAACAGGGCGGGGACTCTGTAGTAAACGCCCAGGGCCGTTTCGCAAACGCCACTCATCTGGTCCGGGTGGTTTTCCCCCCCTGAAATAATGCTCGCGTCGTGTAGGAAACAGGACGGGACACCCAGACGGCCCAAGAGGGCCCCAAGACGGCTCAAGAGGGCCCCAAGACGGTCCCAAGAGAGCTCCAAGAGGGCCCCGAGACGCTCCCAAGAGGGCCCGAAGCCCTCCAGAGGGCCCCCGAGAGGGCCTCATGAGGCGAAACACAGGAGTTGTCCATAAGTGTTTAACGGTTCTTCGGGTTCTCGCCTTTTCGGGCCAAGAAGGGCCCAAGGGAGGTTCTTGGCCATGTTGAGTACCCTGGTGGCCCTCGCCCGGGCCCTGGGACCGTCACAAGGCGGCCCCAGATAAAAAGCCGGCCCGGCCCCTGGGGCAAGGGTCGGGATTTCCAGGCACCGCGTATTGAAAAGATCGAGACATCGCATATCTTGGAGGGAGAGGGGGAATTTGGGTCAAGGTAGACGCGCTCGCGCCAAATCTGACGTCCTGTCCCTCCCACCCATCCCCGTCCAATGCGCTGACGTTGTTCGCGGTCCCCCGACGCGTGTCATAGAGGTTCTGGACCCCCCAGACAGTCACCATCGCGCTACGTGATGCGCAATCAGAAATATGGGAGCTGTATCCAGAGGAGGAGGAGGAGGAGGAGGAGGAGGAGGAGGAGGAGGAGGAGGAGGAGGAGGAGGAGGAGGAGGAAGAGGAGGTTGTGGACGAGCAGGAGGATGAGCAGGAGGAAGAGGAGGAGGAGGAGAGGGAGGAGGAGAAGCAGGAGCAGGAGGAGCAGGAGGAGGAGGAGGAGGAGGAGATGGACGAGGAGGAGGAGCAGTTAGGCCACTTCCCCGGGACCGGCGTTTCAGCCTGAGCCGCTCTTTGACGGCCCAGGGGCCCGGCGAGG